TACGGGCCTGGGAAATTCGTGAAGAGGCTTAGCCTGATGAAAACGACAAGTTTCAACCAGCTAAATTCACATTGACAAAGCAGAACAAGGATATCTTCTTCTCGACGTTGAAGAACATAAGAGTACCAGATGGATATTCTAGCAACATCTCGATCTGCAGGCTTAAAAGGTTACTGGGTTAAAAAGTCATGACTCTCATGTTCTTATGCAACAGTTACTTCCATTGGCCTTAAAAAACACACTTCCTTCTGATGTATCAGTGGTTTTGGTAGAATTATGTTCATTTTTCAAGAAGTTGTGTGCGAAGGTCTTGATAGCGGAAGAGCTTGATTAGCTGCAAAATAAAATTATTCTTACACTTTGTCACTTGGAGATGATATTTCCTCCATCATTCTTTACTGTTATGGTTCACTTGACTGTCCACCTTGTTCGAGAAGCAAAGGTTGCTGGCCCAGTTCACTATCGATGGATGTACCCTATAAAGAGGTACTGGATTATCTTTTATTCCCGCCTTTTTAAATTTCACATTGTTCTTTTATTTGCTCGTAATTATTAATGCAATTTTAACTTACAGGTACTTGGAAAAATTAAAATCATATGTTAGGAATAAGGCATGGCTTGAGGGGTCAATAGCAGAAGGTTATTCTGGAGATGAGGTCATAACTTTCTGTTCAAGGTACTTTGATGACATGGAGATATCTTTTAACCGCCCACGTCACGTAGATGATTCTCCTCCTGGTCCTTCCACGTCAACTTTATTTCCTCCTGTCGAGAAACCAGTTGGACGATATGAATTCTTCAGACTCACTCCTACAGAGAAACTCCAAGCACACAGACAGTGTTTGATAAATTGCAGCCAAGTTGAACCCTTCATATAGTAAGTATGTCATATAAGCTCACTAGCTTTTACACTTTATATTTGTTTCTCACTGACTCTTCTAACAAATTACACTTTACTGTAATGAGTTTTGGAGTTACCTCAGGCGTCAGCTACGGGGGCGTGCGCATTCTGCTGACATTGATAAAAGAGTCCACAAAGAGTTTCCCAGTTGGTTTACATGTCAAATACGTAATGACAACAACCCATACACAGATGAATTCAAAGCTCTTTCTCTCAATCCATTAGACCATGCACGAAGGTTTACCACGTATAATGTCAACGGCTTCAAGTTCTGTACGGTTAGACGTGATCTGGGATTGCTCACACAAAACTCTGGAGTTTACGGGACATTCGACATGAGATGTTATGCTAGCAGCAGTGATGGCGATATGCGCTTTGGAGGCGTCACTTACTATGGAAAGCTAATTGACATTATTGAGTTGAGTTCCCAGCTTTTCACCGTGACACTGTTTAAGTGCTCCTGGGCAAATACAACAACTTCACGGGGACTCGCTACTGACCATTTGGGCATCACCTCAGTTAATTTCTCTAGACTTATTCATATGGGAGCGTCTGAAGATGATGAGCCATATATCCTTGCTTACGAGGCACACCAGGTTTACTATGTCGAGGATGAGAAACATAAAGATTAGAATATGGTCGTTCACCTCAAGCCACGAGATCTTTATGATATGGGTGATGGTGACATTATTTACGATAGTGAACCCTTCCAACCCTCGAATTTTGAAGACTTCTTTCCTCAAGGAGATGATAATTTGCCAATTATCAGGTATACGTCTTTTCTTAAATTATTTAAATAATTAACTACTAATTACTAATTTCTTCTAAATACATTATAATTCTAACAATTTTTTTTAAATATGTCCTTTCAAGCCGGATGATGATGAAGAATAGCAGCAGCCAAAATTTTTATTATTAAAAAAAATTTCCTTCCATAAATACATATGTATAAATTAAATTGGTATAGGTTTTTAAAAAATTAAAAAAATAAATTTGTAGCGGTTATTTTGATTACAAATTTGTAGTGGTTACATAACCGCTACAAAGTCTAACCGCTACAAATACTAGCGGTTATTCATACATTAGAAAATGACAAATAGCTACAAAATGCAATAAAACGCTACAAAAAAACCGCTACAAATGTGTCGCTGATCTCTATAAATATCATATCATCTCTACATTCATTTACTCCATCTCTTTTCTTTCCTCTCCTATTCTTCCTCATAATTCTCTCTTTTTTTCTTACTCTCTCATATGGTGGTTTTTTTCTCTTCACTGTATGGTAAGTGAATTTTATTTTATAAGTCATTGTATCTTTTATTTATTTTTACTTATAATTTACTAACATATTTATTTCTCTTTTTCTTTCAGATTTTTCTTTTTCATAGTTGTCATGCCCTTCTCAACTGATTCAAATACTTCTCAACATAACACTTTAGGTTTAATATTACAAACTATCTCATCTTCAATTCAACTATCTTATTAAATATTCAATTCAATTATCTTATTAAATGAAATTCACTTATCATTTAATTACATATTGTTTATTACAAAATTTAAATATATAAAATGTAATACATAACTAATTATACAAATTAAAAAAAAATATCCAACACAATCTATTTAATGGTTTTTAAATTTATAATATTATATTTTCTAATAATGAAACAACATAAATTTTTTTCTGCCTCAGAAAACATTTCTAGCGGTTCAAAACCGCTAGAAATAAAAAAATAGCAGGAATATTTCGTGAAACTAAAATTTTGCGCCAAATGTTCTAACGGTTACAACCGCTAGAAATGTTTTGGCGCCAATTGAAAATTTTAATTTGCCGGCAAAATTTGATTTCCCATGGATTTTCTAGCGGTTCAGGAATAGCTAGAAATTTTGGCCCCATAATGCAAATTTTCAATTCCCGGCAAAATGAGATTTGGTTCAGATTTTTCTAGCGGTTATATACCCGCTACAAATTTTTCTAGTGGTTTCTCTGTGCTAGAAATTCCTCTCCTACTGCTAGTGTTTTCTAGAGGTTATTAAACTGCTAGAAAGTTTCTGGCGTTTTAACCAAACCGTGTAGAGGTTGCCATAATCGCTAGAAATTTTTTCTTACACTTTATTTTCTAGCGGTTTTTGTAACCACTAGAAATAATATTTGTAGCGGTTAAAACCGCTAGAAATGTCTCAATTTAACTGCTACAATTCACATATTTTTTGTGTGGTGTAAATAGATTAAATAAGCCTATTAAGTTAGTTATTTGCAATAAATAAGTATTGTCTTTTTTAAAATATCATTGCTAATCAAGTATATTGGCTAGAATTACTATTATTACAATAACTACTTTGAAAAAAATAGATAATTATGAGAGGCAAAATAGATTAGAGTCTTATATTTAAGACCAAAATAAAAGTCAAACGAGCTTTCAGATTAAGGACTGGATATAGTAGTTTATAAAGTAGAAATTTTTTCAATTATGATTAAATAAGTTTCTTTTGTGAAAGTAACCAAAATGGACATGATTTTTATTAAATAATAAGAAATGATTGAAAAATAAATTTACCAAAAATAATATTTTAAATTATGATATTAGGAAGGAGTTATATTTAATGAGTAAAATATGTTTAAATTAGAAATCATAGTAATGTGAAAATTTTTAACCAAATAATATTAGGTAATTAATTAGATGATATACGCTACACAATTTGTGTAAGCATAAAATGAAAAATAATATTAAAATATTATAAAAATTTGTTAAAAATTATTTTTTATTTTAAAGAGCATTAAAAATAAAAAAAAACTAAAAATTGACTGGGGAAACACAATGAATATCTAAAGAGAGGTATAAGAAGAACATAAATATGAGAATAAAAACGTCTTTTGATTTTGAAAAGTAGCTTTTGCATAAAGATAAGACATAAACCATAAAAATTAGTTTGTCACTTAAAGTGACCTTTTCAGACAAAATAACTTATATCTAAACATGATGTCAAACATAATAAAATAATACAAGCTGACTTTTACTCCCTAAAAGCTACTTTTCCCCCCTTCAAATGCTCAGCCAAACAGACCAGTCAATTTATGCATAGGAATGAGTGAAAAACCATCAGTTATTAGCAAGATCAATGGTTAATGCTCGCATCTTGGTTTCTCTTCTTTCTCATTGTTTTTCACCGACCACGCTCTTGGGGCATTCTTAGTTTCTCTTCGTTTCACTGGGTCATGGGTGAATCACAGTTTCATCATACTCGCACACCAGATATACAAATCATCTTCTTTTTCGGTTAGATCTTCATTATCTTCACTATTTCAAAGGATTAGACGTGCACACACTTTTGGTTTGTGCTCTGTTTTTGTCGTCTTCATCTTCTTCTTCATAATCTTCTCCTCTTCTTTTGTGTTTTAGTCTTTCCCAAACCCGTTCGGTTTCAATCAACATGTACCGGTTCGCGGTACAATTCCGGATTCTGCCTCAAATGCCAATTCCAAATGGTTCAAGTTGAAATAGTGTAAATGACGCTAAAATGATGATGCAGATTCATGCTATGGCATTTAGTTAGATCTTGTATAAGTAATATATGAGGGGGAAAAAACTGACCTTTCAAACGTAACTCTATATAATTGTTCTATGCGTTGCATTTTCAGAACCTGTCCTTTCTTTTTCCCTACCATCCACGCCAGATTTACTTACGTCCTATCGAGTGAGTTTACATCATTCCTTTAACATCATTTGTGGCACTTCAACACTTTCATATTGTTTACATCAATTTAGCAGATTTTAATAACTTTATGATTATATTATCCCAATATGATTTTACTTTGATAGGAGATGAATTGATGCACTATTGTTTTGTCCCAAAATCCCATGGCATTTCAACTAAGCTGAAAAGACTAATCGCTCATATCATAAAAGTGAGTTTTCTTTGCATCAAAACAACTACCAACAACATATTTAAGAGGCATATGTAAAACTAATTAGCAAATATTGAACATTGAACACAATAGAAAAGCACCATAACTGATTGGGAACTTAAAAAAACCCACCTCAAGTTAACAAGAAATATAAACCAAAACATATATCTTAGACTTGTAGTACCATGGTCGTTCAAATAAGTGTTAGAAAGACAAAACATCAGGTTCTTTGTTTATTAGGAACAAACTCTCAACATAAGAACCAGCATAAGCTTCAGAACATCCCTGCTGTCCCACAGGCTCCAACGATCCATTGATTGGATCAATTAAAGTAATAACTTCACTTGCAAGTCTCACAACCACTTTTCCACCAGTAGTTAGAGCTAATATGCCTGATACGCCCCCATAACTTTTTGAATCACATTGGAATATTTCAGTCCATGACTCGATAACACCATATTTTTTCATCACCCAAATACTGAACACCCGTCGGTTCCTTTTCATAAAATGATTCACCACGGCAAGCGAATGGCCTCCTTCCACAGCAAGTAATGTTGACGCGACTTTCCTCGACTGTTGTGGTAACATTAATTCTCCAAATGTCTCTTCAGTTACATCAAATGACAAAATAAATTTGTACCGCTCAAATCCACGACGACCAACAACCCAATGTACCGCTCCATTCACAGCTATTGGGGCTAACCAATTGTTTAAATAACAAAAGAAAAACGGAGGAACCCTAACATCAATAATTCTCCAAGAACGAGAAACAAGAGAGTACACCTCAACGTGAGGAGTATCTTGTTCAGCGCAAAGAATCATGAGTCTAATGACCTTATAATCGTTATTCTTGGAATCAAAACCAAACCCAAAATGTAGGTGATAGTCGTCATAAAGTTGACGTTTGCGTTTTTTGCAGGTCATGATTGGTTTGGGAAGCACCAAATATTTTCGAAGCAAGGGATTCCAAATAAGGATAGTTGCGGAATGGAAGGATGAATAGTCAGCAGCACAGACGAGGCCATTGCATGTGCCAGCAAATATATCAAGACGATCCCGCCGAAATAGATGAGAGAGTGGGAATCTCTCTACAGAGAAGTGATTGGTTTGCTGATTAACTGAGTACAATGAGTAAAACTCCTCTTGATGAAGATGAATCTGCCGTTTGTATTTTTTAAGACAGAATTGAAAAAAGAGGGAGCCCCGCTATTGGAAGCTTCGATTGTACGGTTGAGATGATCAGATATGAAAGTTCGATTTGTGATGAGGGAATTCCAATCTCTGCAAACCGTGATGAATTTCACAAGAGACTTGACGGGTAGTCTGTGAAGGATTTCCTCCACAATTTCTTGGGGTAAACGATCAGACATATTGCTTTGGCTTGCAAATCTGGACACTATCCTTGACTCCACCACACTTTAATATAAAAGAAGCGAAGGTAATAGTTTTCTGGGGTAAAAGGCATACAGATGTTATTTATAGAAAAAAAATGACTCTAATGGAAAATATTCTAGGAACCTAATCCTATCCCAATTTAATTTAAAAGCTCAAAAGATATGGATAGAAGAATCATAGATGGATAATATTTCAGCTGTAACTAATTAAAGATATCTTTTAATGGTCCAATTTATCAATTAATGTTATTAGGATTAAATAATATTTTAGATTTTAAACTAAAGAATTAATCACACAAATAGGTGAGAGTACCAATAAAAACATTTTCTTTTATATATAATTTTTCTTCTTCAACTAGATCTTCTATCTTCTAATTTCATATCTCTCCGTCAAAATAAGTCAGAAACATTTTTAGTTTAAAAAAGCACCGACTTTGTTTTCCTATCTAGCGCAATCTGACATGATAATAGGTTAAAGTGCACTCTAAACACCCTAACACTAGAAATATTTTTCACAGTTACCTCCACTAATTTTATGGGAAAATTAGAAAGAATAATGTTTATTAGAGAAGACAAAAAAATCATAGTTATTTTAAAAGAACAAATACTGAAATGTAAATATATAAATATTAAACTACCCCTCCTACATTTTCTCCCACATTCCCTATTCTATTTCAAAAATTAATGCAAAATTTCAAATTTAACTGGATTAAACCAAATTTCCCTGCAATTTTAGAACTTGGTAGATATCTAATTAAAAATAACACACGAGCGTGGTTCGGATATAACTAAATTAGAATTTTATTTTTGAAGTCCCTAATTAGTAAGCTTAATTATGTAATTAATAAGTTTTAAATCTAAATTAACAGCTTTATATATGTCTAGAAATCACACTTGCAATAAATCAATCAACTATATTCTTGAAAACTTATAATACCAAATTCGTTTGAAAATAGGTGGAGTATGAGATTATAGGATCAGAATATATTTAATTAATGAGATTTAAATAACACTTTAATATAGATTTGAATATATCGAATTGAATAGGAAACATTATAAATAAATACAATTTCAAATAGAGATTCAAATCAAGAAATTAATAATTAACTTTGAATTTTAATAATATCTTAATTGAAATTTGAATATATTAAATCAAATGAAGGGTATCATAATTACATAGTATGTCAATAAGAGGCCTAAATGGAGAACTAAAAAATTAATTTCAAATTTTCACCTATTCCTGTAAATTCCACATCTCTAATTCAAATTCCATTAAAAAAAATATATTCCTATTAGAAGTAAAATTTAAGCCATCTTAGATAATATAATTTATTAAAATTTTAAATATAATCAAATATGCTAGTCCATAGATGTACAGGGAAAAAATTTCTAGTTTCTATATAAAAATAGATCATAATACAACCTTAAAAATTAACAGTTTTAATCATACAGTTAACACATTTTAATTCTAAATTAATTACTTGAGAACAATAAAAAATCCTCATTTTTCTAGGTTTGTAAATAAAAAGAGCATCAAAGTTATTTCATAAAATTTTAAGATATCTCTTTGAGTCATGTGACTTAATTAAGAATTTGATAAATTCAGCAAACCAAATAAAAATTTGAGTTATTTAAATATTTTTAAAAAAATAATTCACAAATCTTAGCGGGAAGTTGGCAAAAAAACATCTTAGTGGGAAAAAAGTAGAGAAACAAAGCATATGTCCGGCTTTGGTTTTAGTTATACTTTTTTCCCAAAAAAGGTAAAAGTAGGAGGAATCCAAGGAAGTTTTGCTAGCAACAATTTTGTACTTTGATTTCACTCCTCCCTCCCTCCCTCCCTTAATTAGTTAATATCTGAAGTGGTTAGCCATGGATCATATAATTTGACCCAAAAAAAAAACATGGATCATATAATATGCCATTAAAAAAATACAGACAAGCCCCAGAAAAAGATCAATTCAAATTGGCTAGAGGCCGACGGAAATATTGTGATAAGCCAATAGGGGAAGACAACGCTATTGATTCCAAGCATAGGCATGGTATCGAATAAAAGGGCCAGGTCGTAGTCTAATCATTTAATATTATCTAATCTTTTAGAATTTGATAGGAAGATAGAGGGCATACCATGGAGCATCCATTTGAAGGAGGCGAGATCTGCGTATCTAGAGCAATTGGGACTTGGCGGGTTGTCGAAACTCCAGATAGGAAAGATGCAGAAGCAATCGCGCAAAGACCGAGGCTTTTGAGTTGAAGAGCAGAAATTGGGAGGAGATGCGACTATGGAGGGAGGCACCAATCATGGAAGTATATCCAGAAAGGCAAGAGGTGAGAGACAATGGCTGAGGAAGATCCGGCTGTCAAAGAAAGTGTCCGGTGCTAATTAGGGCATCTTAGTTTTGTTTGGGCTTGGGCCCTCTCCTCTGGCCTCTATTTCTTGTAGAAAAAACTCTTATTATATAGAAGCATATGATAAAGGGAGAATGACATTAAGGTCCCACAGAAGTCAAAATACAGCAAAAAAGTCCCCTGAAATGTCATAATTTTTCTGAAGTCCCAAAGGGACTTAGATGCAATTTTAATAATCCACAAATTACTCTCTTGCCCCTAAAGTAAAATCTGTTGGAGCTCTCCACTGGGAAGCCACACACAGCCGGCTATGTTGGAGAAGTTGGAAAACGCAGCGTTGAAGGGAGAGAAGCTGTGGAGACCTAAGTGCTGTGAACGACGGAGTGAGAGGAGGCGAGTTTTGAAGGACGCAAATAGAGAAGTTGAGTTATGGGAACAGAGGGCGCTGACCGACGGAGTGAGACGAGGCGAGTTTTGAAGGACGGAAGCAGTGAAGTCGAGTTCTGGGAATAGAGGGCGCTGAACGACGGAGGCAGAGACGGCGATTTCTGAGAATAGAGGTAGCTGAATGACAAAGGCAGAGATGCTATTTTCTGAGAATGGAAAGGCATTGAACGACTGAGGCAGAGACACTGATTGATCGGGAACGAAAAGTCACTGAACGGCGGGGCAGAGACGGTGATTTCTGGGAACAAAAAGCCACTGAACGACGGAGAGGAGACGCTGATTTCTGGGAAGGAAAAGGGACTGAACGACCGAGGCAAAGACGCTGATTTCTGGGAACGAAATTTGACTGAACAACGGAGGCAGAGAGGCTGATTTCTTGGAACATAAATTGATTGAACGACGGAGGCAGAGATTACGAATCATGGTTTGTTTTTCCAGCATTTTTCCCTTTCATTCTCTGCTGCCAGTTTGTTGTTTAAAGTATAATCCAATTGTAATTCCCATTACCGAATACTAATGAGGGAATGAGTAGTGCTTGAGCGTGGATAAAATCATAAATGTAGTAGTTTAAGTCAGTTTGGTGACAACATGAAGTACAAAGAGATAAAATAGCAAAACGAAATGGATTTGGAGAAGATGCATTGAGCAAAAATATGATTAAAAAAGAAACTTGCACATAATTGATAGTTTTGTACAGTATCTTACAGATTTTTTAACGTGTAGCCCTCCTGCCTTTGCTGATTTTAATGGTCTGGATAGTTTTCTCGAACCAGTGTTAACAGTAGAGGAACTTTTTAATACTTTTGATACAGTATGCTTCTTCAACACAATTTTGAAAGTGGCACGGACAGTAGAAGTGCTTTTCCATTTGGAAACCTTTACCAACTTGGTATTCTTTTCCTTCTGCTGAGTTATTTGGGTCCTAGTAATCTCCCAGATTGCGTTGCTTCCCATTACTGAATGCTATTAATCAGAATTCCTTTTTTTAGAAATTACTAAGTACATTGAGCTTGATGTAGTAAAGAAACCAACTTAGATAATAATCAAGACAGAGTTGGGAGCTGTTGTATTGGGCAAGTTATCTGATGCTATTGTCTTTTTCCCTCTTCTTTAAATCTTGGTGTGCCATGTACGTAATATATGTATTTATTAAATTATTTCATTTTTGACTTGCCTTCTATATCATCCAGAATTAGGCATAGTTTGCCTTTTTTTTGGCAGGTTAAGAAAATGGGGAAGGATGGAAGCAATGCAAGTGGACAAAGGAGCTCTAATTTTTCTGGTTATGCCTTGTTCACAAAGGAATTCTATAAAAAAAACCTCAAGAAAGTACAAATCCCTTGAATCAGGGAATCCACATGTGAGGAAGGCCTGGGATAAATTATCTGAAAAGCAAAAAGAGGAATATTGTCAAAGGGCTAGGGAACAAAGAGCTCCTACAAAGTCTAAGAAGTATATAGTTCCTTTCTACACAAGATGTGCACCTAAACAATTTGTACAAGTTTGCAAGCATGTCAAAGAAAGGAAGGACCTGATGGATAGGCTAAAAAAGATAGGTTTTGACAAGTTGGTTGAATTATGTTGCCACACAATTCAAAGAGAATTGTGTGGAGAGTTTATGTGTGCATTTGACCTTCCAACAAAAAGCATTTCCATAAGAGGGAAGAGAAGGAAAATGGGGGCAAATGATGTGTATGACTTTATGGGGCTACCATTTGAGGGGGAAGAAATTAAAGCAGCTGTGAGTAGTGAAGATGAAGTGTTCAAGCAATGGAGGACTGTGTATGGCAATATTCCATACAAGAAGATAGCTTCATTGTTGACCGAGGAGAAACAAGATGAAAATTTTGAGATGCTATTTGTGATGTATGCATTGGGAACGTTGTTGTGTCCTAATGCAAGTATTTGTGTTAGTGATTATTTGTTGGAGGTAATACTATCAACAAAGGATAGATTGGGTAAATTTGATTGGTCATCTTATGTGTTGAATGAACTATACAAGGGCATTGGAGTGTACAAGAAACAATTGGAAAAAGGCAAGTTGACTGAGAAGAAGAAGAATATTCCAGGCTGTCTATACTTCCTACAAGTAAGTGCTATTATAATTTGTATATTTTTGTTGTCATTTTATGGTCTGAATGTTGTCAATGGCTGCTGTTAACTTATCATTCATGTCACAT